ATCTTCTCAGCACTTTTGGAATTTTAATGATATCTTGAACGGTTCAGGAATTATGGTAATGAGAAGTGCGCATGTCCAATCCCGTCTGCGGCCACAGGTTGGTAATAAGAATATTGTGGCATTAACAGAGGGGTGCCTGCGGTCAGGGCTAGGGGGCCCCCCAACACAAGGGGGCCCCAGGCGGCCGCTGACCTGTGCCTAACGGTAAAACCGCCACTGGCCCTAAGTTTACCTTAGTTTCCTTTTTAATAAACATTTTTGTATTTTTCTTACCTCGATCTCTGTGTGCGATTCTTTCATGTGGGTAAAGAAACTTCCAACCACCATGACAATTATGCCATAATGATTTTATATTTGATGCTAAGTGGCTTCTGATCAGCTACATCTAATTGTCAGATATTTAACTAGATCTTCTTAACCAACCCTTTAGTGTTCTGTGGAAATTCTAAGCCTGCGTGTGTGTGTGTGTGTGTGTGTGTGTGTGTGTGTGTGTGTGTGTGTGTGTGTCACAACTGTAAATGCATAAACCTTAACAGTGTGCAGGTTTATGAACTGAACGCCACGTTTCAAATTTTGTTTATCTGTGAAAAACCACATTTTTGAAAGAACTGAATAAAAACAACTTACCTTTCCCAACAAATAAAGGCAATGTTTGGTCAGAGACATCGGGGTGACAACGTGGCCACAGGACATCCGAGCAGTGGGAAGCGGAAACCCTTCACACTCGACTGTGAAAAACAAACCCGCAACGAAAAATCACAATATTTTCCACCGCTATATTATCTTGAATACGTTTAAGGTTTTATAAATGATCATGAAGCGACTTACCGTCGAATTCATCATCTGCATTCGCAAATGGAATGGTGACGTCAGCCCGATTATAACGTTTGATCACAGTTTTCGGGACTTTAGAGTTCATTATGCTGCAGTCTTGATGTTTTAGCAACAAACCTTACGAACGCAGACTGTCAGTTAAAGTACAGAACTCTTTCGATTTCGTTTCCAACACACACACACACACACACACACACACACACACACACACACACACACACACACACACGTGACTTCTTTTTAATCGAAACCTAACGAACTAGTCCGAAGTACTCAGCGATTCGAGCATATTACAGAACTGCGCCTAACTATATGGCAACAGGAAAGCGGAGGATGTAAATGCTAAATCTATGCACAGAAAAAGTTATAATTTTTTTAAAATTCGGGATCTTGTCCTATTTGAATTTCCACCCTTCCGTGTTAATATTGTAGTTCATCAAATCTATCAAGTTTATTTTAGATCTATTTTGTTTGCATATAAGGATTATAACAAATTATTATAATCATTATATTATACAATAATTAATATAACGCATAAATAAATAAGTATTTAGGCTGCGCAAATTTTTATTATTCCATTATTATAATCCGTATATGCACAAATTACGCATTCAGTTGTTGCTGCCTGAAAACAGGACATATTTGTGTTTTCCTGATCACTCTTGGGCCCTAAACGCAACTTCTGCTTTCATAATGAATCAGTTTGCTGGTATGGGCACACCCTGAGCATAAAAGCGTTATGTCAGGTTTACAAAAAGTGAAACTAACTGGAAACTTACATTCTAAATGTGAAATGTCAGGACAAAAAATCGACGTTTTGAGGGAAAATAAATCAAGAGGAGCCAGTTGAGGATGCCTCCTGGACGCCTTCCTGGTGAGGATTTCCGGGCACGTCCAACCGGGAGGAGGCTTAAAGGAAGACCTAGGACACGTTGGAAGGACGTCTCTCCTGGCCAGGGAACGCCTTGGGATTCCCCCAGAAGAGTTGGTCACAGTGGCTGAGAGGGAAGTCTGGGCCTGTCGACCCGACTCGGGATAAGCGGAAGAAAATGGATGGATGGATGGAAAATAAATAAATAAATAAATAAATAAATAAACAACACTTGTTTCCTGTGTGTGTAAAATGCTTTGTCAGAATATATTTTAGACTATAGGGACTACGTTCTAATCACAATCATTTCCCTGTATTTTAGGAAGTTAAATGATTGTGTTGTCCTGTTTGATATTTGTGCGAATTGTATCAATATTTTATAAAACAAAACAAAATGCAGTTTAACGATACCAAGTCAAGCAAAACACATATGAAAACATGACAAAAAGCAAAAACAACTAAACTCATAGAGCTCTATATTTTCAAATCATAAAGAAAATAGTTTCAATTCTTCTCATAATCGCATGTTATATGCATGCAGGGCTTTCATTGTGATATAATTGGTAGCAGTGTTGCAGAAATGTTGCGGGTTTAAATCCTGCATGGGCTTCCTGTGCAGGTTTAAGGTTTTTGTTTCCTAGAAATAGACCAACCTGCAAAGCAATCTTTTTTTTTGCAGGTTGGTCTAGCCATGCTCCATGGGAACCTCAGCAGGCCTGAGCCGTCTTGTGTTTTTCCAATCAAAGCACTGTTTGTAGGCCGAATGATGCGATGGAGCGAAAAAACTAAGATGGCGGCAGCCCATTTACCTGTGTGGCATGCCCAAATCTTTTAAAATGGGGTGGTCCAGGTCCACTTCTTAGTGCATGAGTGGCACCAATGGTTATGCTTCTTTATGTATATATATATATATATATATATATATATATATATATATATATATATATATATATATATATATATATATATATATATATATATATATGGCTTGCCAGAGGAACTATTCACACTTTCAGCCCCTTGTTGCACTTCTCATCTTGTTTTTTTTTTTTTACTTTTATCCCTAATCAAATTACAAAAACGTAAAATTAATGCCAAATATTGTTAGTTCTAAAAAATGTCAACACATTTATTGAACAAATGTGGCTTTTAATTTGATCACAATTGTTATTTTTTGTGTTGACAGAACATCTGCCCTATACTCAGATTTTGTGGCAAAGTTTGAAACCACCTCTCACATCTATAGACTAGCTTCCAAAGAGCCAGACCTTCGAAAATGATTCTAATAAATACTTAATTTCTTCTAAAGGTTGGGATGGAAATCATTTTATGACCATAAAACGTTTTATATTATTATTATCTTAAGTGTTGCTCAAACAAATAAATAAATAAATAAATAAATAAATAAATAAATAAATAAAAGCCATCATCACCATCATTTAAAAAGAAAGATTTTACTTTTGGGGTGAGGTCCTGCACAGAGTGGAGGAGTTTAAGTATCTCGGGGTCTTGTTCACGAGTGAGGGAAAACTGGAGTGTGAGATCGATAGGCGGATTGGTGCTGCATCTCCAGTGATGCGGGCGTTGTACCGATCTGTCGTGGTGAAGAGAGAGCTGAGTCAGAAGGTGAAGCTCTCGATTTACCGCTCGATCTACGTTCCTACCCTCACCTATGGTCATGAGCTTTGGGTAGTGACCGAAAGAACGAGATCGCAGATAAGCAGCTGAAATGAGTTTTCTCTGCAGAGTGGCTGGGCTCACTCTTAGAGATAGGGTGAGGAGCTCGGTCATCCGGGAGGGGCTCAGAGTAGATCTGCTCTCCTCCACATCGAGAGGAGCCAGTTGAGATGGCTCGGGCATCTGGTCAGGATGCCTCCTGGACGCCTCCCTGGTGAGGTCTTCCGGGCATGTCTAACCGGGAGGAGACCTAAAGGTAGACCCAGGACATGGTGGAGGGACTATGTCTCTCACCTGGACAGGGAACACCTTGGGATTCCCCCGGAGGAGCTGGCCCAAGTGGCTGGGGAGAGGGAAGTCTGGGCCTCTCGACTTAGGCTACTGCCTCAGTGACCCGACTCTGGATAAGTGGATGAAAATGGATGGAGGGGACTGGTTATGTAATACACTCCATTGATTTTGACAAGTTCATGACTCAATTATATGTCAGTGCCACTTAGAATAGACCTGTTTCCTAAGCATTAATAGTTCCTGATATTTACATATTGAATGTATTTTAGTGTTTACTTATTTTTGTATTTTCTCTCCGAATGGACAAATTATCTAGTTTTAACGATTTCCAATATATCGTTCCTTCAATCTTAAACCTCAACACTTTTCATAGCCCACAATGAGACAGACTGTGTGTGTAAGGAAGAATCTGAACGACTCAAATACACGTAAACATTTATGCATAAACAATCAACAAGACATTGAAAATATATGCTGTAAAGTGCGGCACTGCCGAGTAGAGCAACAGAAGGACGAAGAGCCGCGCTCGGTCCGTCTCTCTCCCCCCGCGTGTGTGCGATCAGGAAGCCGGTCCTCCATCGAGGGAGATCACCATGTGGATGGCAGACTTGTGGATGATTCCATACTCGTGCAGCCGCTTGTCGTTCTCATCCAACCTTTTGTTTCCGAAGATCAGCTGCATGTCATTTATTATCTGCGCTACTCCCGCACGCGCACGAATAGACGCACAGAGAGAAAGAGAGAAAGACGTTAAAATATGCTTTAATCAACGGGAACCTTTTTTTTTATAACACATAAAACACAAACACGTCTCATTTAAGAAAACAAATCAGGTCCGTTAGCATTTCAAATCGCTTCCTACTTGACTTTATTTGACTCGCTTGCGTCAAATTGGTATAACAAGTAAAATTTATGTTAAAAAAAAGTGGCTACAATAAAAAAACATGCTGCTGTGGGCTAGTTTACCTGTGACACCGGGGAGCCTTTCTGATATTTTAGCTGATATTTTAACTTTCAGCTCCTGCACGGTTATTCGCTGCAAGTCTTTCTCACTCTCGCACAAGTCGATCGTAAACTTCTGTCCATCCAAGCCCGTCACAATGACCTGATAAATCATTATTGTTATTTTCTTGTTATGGTGAAGCGCTCCTTCTCGATTCTCGCTCTGGTGTGAAATGAAAGAAAAAAGATGGATGGTTTTCTTTACTGAACGGCACACGTCACAGGAACTCTTTTTGCTTTCGGTTTTATTAAATAAAACTGGGAAGGACTTGTTAAAATGTTTAATGTCTAAAGTGTTCAATCCAATACAGGCTAAGGAATTTAAACAATGATATTCTCACGCTGACTTAGAAATAGCGCATATTTAAAGTGGAAGATGCGTTTGAGCGCTAGTTTTGTTTTTATTTGCTGAGAATAACGAGGTGAGTAAACATTTAAACACCGGCTGTCGTGCTAAAATTCATAATAACCGTCATTATGAATAACTTTATGACTAAAGTGGTTAATTTCCCTGCTTTTGCAGTTCTTGCTCTTTGGCAGGGAAACGAAAACGCTCATTTCCCTTGTGCCTTGAACGCAGCACTCTTGAGGCGTGAAACTGAAAGTAGCTGTCATTTAGTGGTAAAGGCCGACGCACACGCGCGACCAAGAGCTGGTTTTAAACAAATCCGCTTGTTATTCTGTTTAAATCGGAAAAGAATCAAGTGTAATTTAATTTTTTGTGAATCCATCAGGTCAGATGTCACGCCGCCGTAAACAAAAAGGTAAGACAGACTTCTTTCTAATTACTGTTGATAATGATGTTTTAAAACAGTCTACATAAATCCTCCAACAGGCACGCCCGCCAACAAACCTTCACATCAGCTGCGGTACCATGGGTTATTTAATCAGGGAGCAACCTGTTACCTAAACAGCGTGCTGCAGGTTCTGTTCATGACCGAGGAGTTCAAGAGGGCAGTGGAGGGGTTTGTTTCATTACCAGTGTCATTTATTCTTATTCAGATAATACAGATGATATATTTTCATAATTTACCAACCATATGCTTACATGTTTACATCAGGCCAACAACCACAAACTGTAAATCTGAATGTATTGACCAGAAGCTGAAGACTCTCTTTAAAATTTTAAAGAAGGAAACAGCAAGAACTCACGCCATCACAACTCACCTGGGAATCATTAAAGGTAAAAAATCTGTAATAGGCATGATTCACATGATGTAATGTGTAAAGGAGGCTTATATCTTATATTTAAATATTAAATGAATGTAAATTAGCCAAAGGTGAAGATGAAGAGTTGTATTTTTTCCCCATTATAATGGAAGTTACTGAACAATGTGACGCTGCCGAGTGCTTTGAGAAGATTTTAAGTCACACCAGCCCAGAGGCGTCACAGGTGAAGTTATGACTACAAAAGCAGCCATCGTTTTCCATTTTTGAGTGTAAATCTAAATTCTACAGTTTGGGAATTGTTTGTGCTCTTATGTTTAGATATTTCAAGGAGAAGTGATAAACCACAATAAATGCTCCCTCTGCCAAACCAAAACAGAGAGCAGCAACACATTTTGGAGTATACCTCTCACTCTGGCAGATTCAGAGAGCGATGCCTGTTGTGTGGTAAGGAGCTTCCCTTTGTTTCAGCCATTTAGCTAAACAGTTTGAGTGACATGAATGTGTTTTTCAGATGAATGGAATTCAAAGTTACTTTCATGAATCCCACATGGGTGGCGAGGACCGGCTGTACTGTAACCAGTGCAAAAGCAAAGCTGATGCCACCATAGTAAGCATGAAAAACGTTTATTCTGTCATTTCACACCATGTTTTAAAATCGTAGCGACTGTTTCATTAGAATACCTCTCACGTCTTCTCTACCCCACTGACCCTTTGTACCCATCGCACCAGATCATGTCTTGGGGTAGCAGTAGCTCAGGTGGTAGAGCGGGTTTGGAGGGTCATGGGCTCGATTCCAGCTCCCGCCAGGGGTATTCTGCTGTTGTGTCCTTGGGCAAGACACTTCACCCAACTTGCCTGTGTTAGTGGTGGTCAGAGGGGCCGACGACGCCAAGTGGCAGCCTCGCCTTTGTCAGACCTCCCCAGGGAGGCTGTGGCTGCAAAAGTAACTTACCGTCACTGGCAGTGTGTGAAAGAGTCTTTGAGTGTCCTGAAAAGTGCTATATGAGTTCAATGCATTATTATTATCATGTCATTCAACATGGTGGACGTCAACAGTGAGTTAAGGGGGTATTAAACATAGTGCAAAAGTGGTCTTTCAAGTGGTTGTTTTAGCCATTTTAGCATTTCTGTGTCCCGCCCACAGGACAGCACACATTGCGTTCATGGGACCTGGAATTTTAAGGGATTGTGACCACTCAACGCTCCCCCCCCCCCCCCCCCCACACACACACACACGCACACACACCTGAACACCTCTGTTCTGAAGTGGATCAGCTTGCACCGGACCATTCTTAGTACATACCTCAGGTGAAGAATCGGTTTCTGAAACGGCCCAGAAAGTAGTTCTTTAGGGAGGCACGGGAAAATGGAGAGAAGTGCATGCCAGATAAACTGGCAAAATTACCCCCAAAGTTCCAATAGTGGAAACGGGCCTATACATAAGAGTTTGTTTCCAGCAGGACTGATGAGCACTGAATCCCTCACCACACGGTTCATTAGAGCCAATCTTTTAAACATGCTGTTCACCAATGCCAGTAGCATAAACGGTCAATGTGCCAAGTGCAGCATCTGTTACAATAATTATAGGTCACAATTTTACAGACAGATAAAAAAAGTGATGCATACAGTCCCAAATGGGGTCCTACACATTTTCCTACAAAAATGACTACGACAACTATAACGTCTAAATGGGTTTCGACCAATGAACCTTGTGACAATGTCGAGTCCTTGTGACGATGTCGAGTCCTTTTAGCCTGGCAGGACATTTCAAGAAAAGTGAGTATATTAATAATCTTCTTTCTTTTTCCCTGTGTGTACTTAGAAACTAGAGATGAAACATCCTCCAGAGGTGCTGACACTGCTGCTGAAAAGATTTAAGTTTGATTACCATGTCAAGAAATGTGTTAAAATTCAAAGCAAAGTACAAATTCCCAGTAGCCTCCAGATACCACCTAATGAGATTCAGGTACTGTATGGCGCATGATTAATCAGAATTATTATTTATTCCTGGCCCTGATTTCTGTATTTGTATTTTTTTGCTATATATCAGAGTCTGACCTATGAGCTTTATGCCTATGTGGATCACTTTGGTGAGCTGAGACATGGACATTACACCGTCACAATCAAGTCCCAGGAAGACAAGAAGTGGTACCACTTTGATGACACCCTCGTCAAATTGGTGAGACTAATCATTTTTGAAGAATTTGTGATCAACATCAAGTTTAGGATGTGAAACTAATGGGTTCTTGTGTTTTTGCTTTTCACCTAATCACACAAAACATTTCAGGGGGATTTCCAAGAACAGTAAGTATTTATTTATCTCCCTCCTGAATATGACAATGACCCTGAACTATTTTTTCATCTTCTTCATTAGATCTCAAAATGTTTATCTGGCGTTCTACAGAAAAGGTAAGGCTGGAAAAGTCTCGACACTCCAAATCCAAAGGAAAATGATCTAATTCAGTGTTTCTCACACTTTTATGACTTGTGTACCTCCTGAGCCATTTTCTCCTTCCACAAGTACCCTCTTAGTCAAATGTGTTGATGAATTCCCAAAAGTAGAACATACAACTTATTATTAAAAACCATACTACTTATTACTATAGCACATTTAAAAATACAGCATGAGAGCTGACTAAAGTGCTGCACACGCAAATTTATTACAAACAAATAAGACAGAAAAACAATCAGATGAAACCATCATTATTAAGCAGTAAAAGCATTAAGAGTCATTGGCCAAAGTAGGTCTTCAAGCAAAATTTAAAATGGCCCTGAGAGGATGCCACTATACTGTGAAGGGTAGGGAGTTCGAGAGCATGGGAGCACCTGTTCTCCCTGTGACTTGCAGGACATATGGGGTGTGACAAGTAGCAGGAGGTCAGCCGACCTCAAGTCGTGTGCGGGTACATAGGAAGTGTGTAGTTTAGATAGATTTCATTAAATCTCCTCAACGCTGAACCACGTCTCACTTTCTGTCTGGTTCAGGTGAATTCTTTAACATCAGGACAATCTTCATGCAGCATCTAGAAAGAAACTCTATGAGGAAACTTTCTGGATGCGGATCTGCAACCCACCCGTGTGAATGCTCTGATTTCAATCAAATCAATCAAAGCTTTATTTATAAAGCGCCTTCCCTGTCGGGAAGCCCAAGGTGCTGAACATGGTACATGAGAAAAGTGAAATATGATGAATAAATTGAAAATAAAAGCAATTCAAATAGTGCAAAAAGGTAAAACATTAAAGTAGAAGACAAATAGGTAAAACAAGGGATAAAGAGACCAATGAAAACAGGGAAATAAAATCAACATAAAAGATGGCCAAATTCAAACACGTTCAGGAAACGCCAAGCGGAGGAGGTGGGTTTTTAGTTGACTCTTAAAGACCGGCATGGGGACAGCCTAACTGAGGGTGGCAACTGGTTCCAGAGTGTTGGTGCTAGGACTGAGAAAGCCCGGTCCCTGCGAGTACGACACCTAGAACGAGGGACAGCGAGCAGGCCTTGGTCAGAGGAGCGCAGAGCGCATGATGGGGAATGTCTGTTCAGGAGTGTGGCTAGATGGGGGGGAGCACCACCCTGGAAGAAATAGTAAAAAAAGACGAGGAGTTTGAAGTGTGAACGATAACAGACCGGAAGCCAGTGCAGTGAGGCCAGAACCGGACTGATGTGGTCCCGTTTCCTGGTCCCAGTCAGGAACCTTGCTGCGCTGTTCTGCACAACCTGTAGGCGATGCAGTGATGACTGACACAACCCTGCATTGAGAGAGCTGCAGTAATCAAGCCTAGAAATAACAAAGGCATGCAGTACCCACTCCAGGTGGGCTCTCGACAGCATTGGCTTGATTTTTGCAAGGCGTCTCAGGTGAAAAAAATTGGACCGGATCACAGAGTTGATGTGAGCGTCAAATTTATGTCTAGCGTCAATTTTTACACCCAAACTGGTAACAACTGGTTTTGAATATGGAGAAAGAGGGCCAAGATCAACATAACGACCCACAGCCCTGCAATTGGGGTGAAAAACAATGAGCTCTGTCTTTCCCTCATTCAGATGCAGAAAGTTGGCCATTAGCCAAGACTTTACCTCATGAGACTCAAATCGCGGGGGGATCGAGCATTTGTCCATGCTGCCCCAAAACTATGGAACTCATTGCCCATTGGAGTTCGGCAGGCTACATCTCTGGCGGTTTTTAAATCTCGTTTAAAGACCCACTTTTACACTTTGGCTTTTAGACAGTGACTCGTTTTAGTGTTTTATTGTGTCATTGTTTTAATGTGCTCTTAGTATTCATCATGTTTTCTCTGCTTTTAATTGAGATTTTTATCCTTTGTTTTAGCTCCTTGAAATGGGTGTGTTTTGTTTTAGCCTGTGCAGCACTTTGGGCAGCTCCCATGCTGCATTTTAAATGTGCTATATAAATAAACTATGCTATGCTATGCTATGCTATATAGACAGGAAACAAAGGACTGAATAGAGATCAGGCTCAATGATTTTTGATTTATCTAAACTGGACTGTATTCATTCTGCATTTGGCGAAAATGAGGCTTCACTCCCTCCATTAGTAGCACAGCATCATGCAGCTGCAGCCCTGCTCTGGTCTTTCCCTTTGTCGCGTTTCTTAGATTTTCCACGTGTCCAAATCGTTTGGACGCCTTTGTGTTAATAATCCCTTGAAAGACAAATGGTATTAAGCCAATTAGTATTAAGTAGCTATTGATGCAGACACAACTTTATGGTCACCCAACATATTTAACTGAGGATGTTTATCTGTTCACCATCTTCTTAAACTAAAACCAGCTCTGTATTACCAACATGATCCCATATTCTTCACACTTACTCCTTAATCCAGTACTCCAAACCAAAGCTGACACAGCCTGACAACATTCATGCACATTTGTGAATGGCCTAAATTGATAATTGATGTGATATCAACCAGAGGTGTGAACAAGTCACTGCTTTGCAAGTCTCAAGTAAATCACAAGTCTTTCTAGTCAAGTCTCAAGTCAAGTCCAAATCAAAGACAACCAAGTCCAAGTCAAGTCCAAGTCCTTAACTTGGAATTTTCAAGTCATGTTCAAGTCATCTGTCCAACTTCAATTTAATGACGATGATAATAAATAAATTCCAGATATGAAGCTTCTTAAAGCTTCATTTATTTGCTCAAACAAGCAGGAAGTGCTGCTGCAGTTAGGAGAACAAGGTTACTCCCAGAACCAAGAATGATTTATGATTTTTGTCCATGTCGTGTCACTTTTGTGCTAAAATATCAAATATGCTCAAGTCATCATCGAGTCAACAAATGCAAGTCAATTCAAGTCGCAAGTAATTGGCGTTCAAGTCCAAGTCGTAAGTCTATAGATTTTATCAAGTCAAGTCAGAAGTCATTAAAATATTGACTCGAGTCTGACTCGAGTCCAAGTCATGTGACTCGAGTCCACACTTCTGATGTCAACCATACAGTATATTGCTGTGCTAAACTACATTTGGGTATTCATTAAGCATAACACAAATCAGATCAATGTTTATTTTATTAATTTATTTATGTTTTGCACCAGGGCACAGTGAATGCTGTCATAATCTGGGTAATGAAATATGAATGTTTCTGTACACCCCATGTAGTGTGCTCATGTACCACTAGGGGTACATGTACCCTGGGAATTAGAGCCCTGCACTGAAGCCCTACGCCCTCGGGTCGGCCCGGCCCGACGGCCCGAGGGCCGGGCTTCGGGCCAACGACTGAGTAATTACCTCGGACACGGGCCGGGCCAGGCGCTTTTAATTTTAATCGAATTCATTAAAAAAAAAAAAACTGAAACACAAACGCAGCAGCACCTGCCTGCTTCTCACGCACCGGCACCGTTAGCTCAGTTAAGGCCTGTGTGGTTTATAAATGCGCCTATATAAACAAATTCTCAAACTGCTGATTGAAACATGTGCCCCTATTCTAATATGCCATTTTATGTCCACTGTGATATGTCAGAAACCATTCGTTTATTCTCATGAAAACGGCAGCATTCTATTTTTCTGTGAATAAATGCGCGCTGCAGTTAGAAAAATAAAGCATTCATTGCTGTTTTTTCTAACTGGAGGGCGCATTTTCAGAGCGGCAGATTAAATTTACAAACGCTATATTAATTGGGGGCATTTTTTTAATCTGCTGCTCTGCAAATGCGCTCTGCAGTTAGAAAATTAGAATGCTGCTTTTTTTTCCTAATTGCACAGGAGCGCATTTTCAGAGCAGATTAAATTTACAAACGCATCCAATTAATATAGTGTTCATACGTTTCATCTGCTGCTCGAAAAATACGCTCTGTTAAAAAAAAGCTGCATTGATGCTGTTTTTCTTTCTTTTTTCTTTTTTCTTTTTTTTTTTTTTTACTGCAGAACGCTTCTCGCAGATAATTAGAATGCTGAGCATTCTATCACACTAAAACATTATGAAAGGTTAAAAAAAAAGTCGGGCTCGGGCCGGGCCAGAGAATCCTGAAAACCTTTTCGGACCGGGTCGGGCTGGGGCTCAGATTTTAGGCCCGTGCAGGGCTCTACTGGGAATCACTGATCTAACTTGTGAATGACTTTGTATGTTGTTCGACTTTACTTGCTTTTGCTTTTTTCCATTCTAGCTTCTGCTATGGATGCCCCAGCAGAAAACGTCTCTGAAGTGCCAACTTCAAAAGCTGGCCAGCAAAATATGAGTGAAAACAATGTGAAGTGGGATTGTGGTGCACAGCCCAAAGGACAGAAGGATGTGCAGAAGGCAGAGGAGAATAAAGGGGAAGTGGGAAACGGGTTAGCTGTCCCATTGAGCAAAGATAACAGCGGGGTTAGAGCTGATAATGACAGTGGAGGGTCAGTGAGTCATGAGAAGTCTCACAGTCGACAAGATTTGTCAAAAAACAACCAACACTTACCTGTTCAGGTTCTAAATGATTCAAAACCAGAAACTGGTGGACACAGCAGCTTTAAACAAGAAGGCATACCAAAACAAAATGGCCTTGAACCAACTCGGAGCAATAAACAAATTACAAATCAACATAATAGAGTTGGTGGGAATCAACAGCACCATCAAGGTTTTCAGTCAAACAGCAAACGTGATGAGGATGCCACAATAAGTAGCAGTCAGCCGCAAAAGTCTTCTATGAAAAACAGCAAGAAAGAGAAAAGGAGCGATTGTAAAAGCAGTCGAACCACAGAAAGGCCAGAAAACCCGTGTGGTGAGAGTAACGCGGGTCAGGACTCTCAGCACTTTAACAATGTTCCTCAAAACAAGGTTAAGCAAAATTTGCTGAAGATTAATAAATGTGAACAAGCTGTATCTAAAAGATGTGAGCAACAAAAAGCGGATAAAAGAAAAGTTCCAAATGAAAACAGAACAGATGATGAACATCTGAAAAAGGGTGAACCATCCGTAAAACGGAAATGTAATCTTTTAGGACAGTCAGATATTTCCCTCACAATTCAAAGTTCACAGTTAAAAAGCAGTAGTAATACCGTTCCTTGGACTAAAGAGGCTAAAATGCACATTCTTCAGACTAACTGGCTCAATAAAAGTGAAGAGGAGCTTCAAAGGAGCAAGCAAAATGTTGGAATGGGGAGCGAAAGAGAGAACGAAGAATCCAATCCACATTTTTACACAGGGTCGAATGAGGAGCAAAAAGGAAACGAGTGTTATAAGAATGATGACAAACATGAGCAAAAGTTAGAAAATCCCTGCTGTACAGGTGGAACGATCCAAAAAACTTTTCAACTTGAAATGGAAACCAACAGACCACAGAGTGAGCTGGGCCGAGAAAAGCACATGACTTTGACTCAAGGAACAGAAGTAACTTTAAAGTCCGAAGCACAGTCCGATCCAAATATAGATGAGGTTCAGTCAATGTTCAGCAAACTAACTGTGAAAGATTCATCAGAGCCAGAGGGATACGGTGCTGACAACACTGGTGGAAACAAAGACCGTTGTTCTGGGAAACCTGGTTTAACAGAGACACATCTGGAGAAAATGACGCAAGACTCGGTGAAGGCAGGTGACAAAAAAGAGGGGTCTGGTGGAAAAAAGAGAACAAACAAAATGAAGGGAACGGTTTTTATGGTGGCAGGTCTTAATGTGCCAAAAAGATAAAACCTGCAACGTTTCTGATCAGCTTACCACATATGATTGTTCTGTAACATCATGAAGCCTGTTCTTTCATTATTTTAGACACGCCCCTACCTTTGTGTTAGCAGAAACAATCTTAAATTTAAACCTATAGATAGATTGAAAGCTCATGTTCATTTTAACTAAATAAATAATGGTTTCATTTTCCATTTAGTGTTTAATAAAATCTTTATAACTGTTTGAAAGGGAACTGATTCTGATCATTTGATACAGAGTATTAATTTCTCTTCACACTAACAACATCTTTAAACAACATTTATTTTCTAATCTCTCATTTGTTTAGCTCAGGTGTGACCTGACGTTAGCTTATGCTGATTTTATATGTATTTTTATACCTTGTACTGCACTTTTGGTCACCTGAAAACATTTTTTTTATGTTTTAATGGAATAAACTTTGATTTGACTCTACTCTGACTTGTCACGTGGTTTATTCACCAAGTTCATCTTCATAAAATCATTATAACAATAAGCATCAAGGCAACATATTACATGTAATGAATGTAATGGTGGTTATTAAACACTCAAAGAGCATCAGCTATATAACATTTAAATTGATGCAAATTTGAAGTTTTCATTACAGAATATTACAATGTATTTTATAGTAAATAATGCTGCTGAGTAAAAAAAAAAACTAAATCAAAATTTTTGCGTTTCTCTTTTCACCCCATATGTAATTTTTAAGCAAACAGTATGTTATTAACTTATTTGGGACATGAGATCCACTGAAAATATTCCCCTAAAATACCATAATGCAAAAAGTAAAAGCATGCAACATTCCCTGTCTAACTGAATATGAAGGCCATGGTTATCTAATTCAGACTAAGTCTTGTTCAAAAGGAAACCATGCAAGAAGTTGACTGATCGGTGTCCAAAGTGAAGTACTGCCTGTACTTACTGGCAGTGTGCACCGATATTTGATTATCTCCTTCAGTATGCATTTCCAGTAAATCACGTGACTTTAGGGCAGATGGGAGGGGCTTTCCACTAAACTTTGCTTCATACTTAGGCTCCAAAACTTGTGCAGGGCTCTGGTTTAACCAGAAAAACTAGAAATAAGTCATTAAAAAAAGTATTGTACAGTTACATTTGTTTACACATAAACTCTTTGCATGTAAGTAATCATGTAGACATGTCAAGCAATACCATACAAAAATAGGCTAATTATTTAAAAAATAATAACATATAGAAAATGTGATGATGTATAAAATGAACGAATGTTACTGCTTTACAATATCATTACCTTAATTTTAATGGAATTGTATATTTTTAATTATTTTAAACAAACAAACAAACAAACAAACAAACAAACAAACAAACAGGCCAGGCAGCTTTATTTATAAAGCACATTTTATACACAAAATGTGCTGTTCAAGTGCAAAAGAACAGCAAAAAATAAGACAGTCATCGGAGATAACAACAGATTTAAATAAAAATAAATAAAATAAATGAGTTTAACTCAAACATAATTGTGATTTTTCCTGTTTTGGACAGCCTTTAAATCAATATACATTATAAAGTAAGATGCTTAATGTTAATTATGTAGTATTTATGTTTAATAGAATGCTTAGACATGTTCAGCACTCAATATAATTTATTTCCTTACACAAATGATGTGTTTCACGTTTACACGAGATATATTAGACTTATTTTCATAGGAAAAAAAAAGAATGAACGAACATCCAGTTTTTTTTAATGTTTTTTGCAATATCACAAGATCAAAACTCAAGTCTCTATTTACTGGTTAGCATTGAATGCATCACAGCAATGGGCGTGGTAAAACTGAAAGAGAAAGAAAAACTAACTCACTAGTCACTCACGGAAGACAGTGGGTTTCAGCTGAAGGTAGGAACTCAGACACGTTTTATTCTGACCAGCACCTGTTTTAAAATAATGATTATTATCTTTTATAGAAACATTAACAGAATTCACATGTGGACGAAATCAAAATGGATCATTATGGTAGGAGATGTTTTTACTTGGTTAATTGTGAACAGAAATAATAAAAACGTGATTTATTACATGTATCATTGATTAAATTCATAAGGCTGCAGATATAAGGGCTTGATGGAGCAAGGATCAACATGTCACCTGAACAGCGTTCTCCAGGTGTTGTTTATGACCAAAGAGTTCAGAGAGGCCGTGGAAAGGTTGGTTGTGGGATTAAAACTCAGTTTAATGTTTAAATGAACAGAGATTATAATCTGATTCTGTGCCACTCATGTTAGATAATGTTTAACTTTTCAGGAACAACAGTGATGATGAATCTCTTGATTTCCATCTCAAGAATCTTTTTACGGACTTGAAGCAACAAACAGGCGACACTAAACACATCACTGAGAAGCTGGGAATTACATCAGGTATACATAAGATTTCCTTCACGTTTACAAGTTATTTGTTTACAAGACGTCTGAATGATAGACTTAAAGCTGCTGTAACAAATCTACACAACAAACAAGGTTTTGAACATGAACACGAGCCGTTTCTCCATATGTGTACTTGTCTGAACTAGTGTACTCAAGTCCTTGTGAAACATCATCATCGATGTCCCAAGTACTGTTGCAATCCTAAGTACGTATCATGGCAAGCTTGCCCAAAGTTCCCGTATGTGCTCTTGCTCCGCCCATTGTATCGAGGATGCACTGACGCATCCTTCTGCAGACTTGGGACAGCAAAGTATCCCACGATGCATTGCATAACAAACCGTTATCCACCTTAAATCTGTAACTTGTGAACCTTTGCATGAAAAATGTGACCAACTTCTGATCCGCGTTCATTTACCTCGAGAAGATGCTATTTCTTCACACGAATCCACTTTTGTGGGATTTTAGAGATGGAAAACATGAGAACACCAGCTGTCACGGCTCAAACCTCCTACTGCACTAAAGAGGTGGGGGGCAATCTTAAAATCTGGCCAAAGCTAACACACAGTGACATGTTAACTCTTTCTTATTCTTCTTCGGGCTCTTGAAGCGTACAGACGCTCTTTTCTCCTCTCCCTCCCCTGCTCCTCCCAAGGCTCTCTTGTCCTGTCTGCCTGTGCACTGCACTTCTCTGCATTTTTTTCTGGAAACTGGAAATTATTAAACATGGATCTGGTCAGTTGGTCTCTCAAAGCGATCGACAAAATCTTTTCAACGATGAGAACGGGAGAAGGGGCTCCCGTATGCCCCTCTGGAACAGAGCCAGCTGGCTGGGCATATAATGGACTCCTGGAAACAGTGGAACTCGATCTGCCTCTCTCAACTGTCTGTAGAGAATTCTGAAGATTTTTGGATATTCGTCGTTTTGGTGTCGGGATTCCTGCTGTTTGGGCTGGCATATTGGAAAATTAACGAGCTTTCGAGGAATATTGGCTCAGTCCCGGAGCTCAGAGATGGAATGCATCGGGCTGTAAACTCACAAACCCATATAATTGTCGAGATGTGTCGTAAGCTTGTAACTTTGGCTGAGATTCAGGCTCTGGCACAGAAGGTTAATTCGGTCAAGGAGAGAGTTGACGGATCAGCACACTCGTAACTCGTAACTCTCTCTACAGCTCTGACAGAACCCTGCCCTTCTCTCCCAATGATTGGACAGGAATTCGAGAAACGTGATTGGTAGCTAAGACTCGTGCTCTCATTGGTTCCACCCAAGTTCCTCCCACTGACGCTAGAATCGAGACAAAAAGATCCGTAACTGTAGATTTGGTTGTACCTGTAGCATGGACGTCACTAGGATTGAGATATAGGGGGGGGGGGGGGGGGGGGGGGGGGGGGGGGCTTAGCCCCAGGAGCTTGACCTCGAACGTTTTTTGTCACACCCTGCAAAAACTTTGTCAATTAATTCATTATCTGAAGAAAATCTAACAAAACCTATTATTTTATCACTTTCCTTTCCTTTCCTTTCCTACTTTTTTGCATTTTCTCTCTTCTTTTTATAAAAAATAACACTTAATCAGTTAATTAGTGGGGTCTATGTTGAAGAAAGATTTTATGTAAGTCCATTAAAAATTAGATATGTTATATTTCCAAATAAAGCTATTCATTTCAGTCTACTGCACTTAACAGGGGGAAATGTTGTAGTCATTTATTTAATTTGTTTAATTACAACTTGTTTAATTATAAATGTTACTTAAATGTGACAATAAAGAACAAATAAATAATTGTCAAACTTTTATTCTGCCAAATGAGTGTGCAGTTGACAGTTTTAATATATGAATAACACTGCTATGATATGGAATAAAGGAGTATATAATTACAAATACAAAATACAAAATAACAGTATATATGAAAATATCCAGCAAGTAGTAGAACTTATAATACAGAAAGTCAACTATACAGATACAACTTGACATAAGGTTGCAGGTCACATGATAATTATAGTTTTTTTTTCTCAAGTTCTCTTACCTGTTCACTCCTAAATAGAAAACTGTTCAATTTTGCTTGGGAACTTTGTGCTTAGGTAAATGCTCATAACGATGCGCTCGCCCCTGTTTTCGCTGTAGATCACTGACCTTGACCATGCAGATCTCCTCAGCATCAACCACCTGGTCTCTCTCCTGTTCCTCACTCACTCTCTTAAAAAAATCTTCGTATATCCATCTAGCCAACACATTGAAAAACATTTTCAATTTCTAATGCCAAAAAAAATGCTACTAAGCCATTTAGTTTTCACTCACAATAACTGAAACAGCCATTGGTGGATAGATGGTACAGAATATGGACAACTGTTAGCCTAATATAGCCTATGTTTGGTTGCTCATGATGATGGCATTGTCCATAACGTCACATTAAGCTGCCAAAATTTATGTTAAAGTTAGTCGAGTACAATATCTCCTTTCTTTCCCATAGGCAAACATAGGAAATATTAAGCAATTGACAACCCACATGGAAAGAATTCATATAAACATATAGGTTTTAATATATTTTTTGATGTAGCTTTTGAATATATGTGACATTATAAAACTGGCTGTTTAATAATAATAATAATAATAATCCATTTTATTTCAAAGCGCCTTTCAGGACACCCAAGGTCACTTTACAGAAAACACGTAATAAAATACAATAAAACAATAATAAAACCCAAACAAGAAAAAACAAAGAGAGAAACAGTTCAATAAAATCAGAGGTTGTAGGCAGATTTAAACATGTGTGTTTTGAGTGTTGATTGGAAAAGGGTAAAACTGTCGATGTTCCTGATGTCTGGGGGAAGTGAGTTCCAGAGACGGGGAGCAGAGCGGCTGAAAGCTCTGCTCCCCATGGTAGCGAGACGGGCAGAAGGAACCGCAAGATGGATGGAAGAAGATGATCTGAGTGAACGGGATGGGGTGTGAATACTTATAAGGTCTGAGATATATGGAGGAGAGAGGTTGTGGATAGCTTTGAAGGTATGGAGGAGAATTTTGAAGATGGACCTGAATTTAACTGGGAGCCAGTGAAGCTGCTGGAGAACCGGGGTGATGTGGTGAAAGGAAGGGGTTCTGGTGATAATACGGGCTGCTGAATTCTGGACCATTTGCAGTTTATGAAGGAGTTTGTTGGGGAGACCATAAAGAAGTGAATTGCAATAGTCGATACGGGAGGTGACGAGGCTGTGGACGAGAATGGCGGCAGTGTGAGGGGTCAGTGAGGGACGGAGACGGTTAATGGAACGTAGATGGAAGTATGCCCTATGTTTACTATATTATAGATACATATATGTACCTATAGTATAATATATATATATTATAGAAAAAATATATAATATAGAAAAATGGTCAATAATATACACATTCGGCCATATTCTGATTCAGGTTTTTAGTGTGGAGTGATTTTTGTGCCACCAACTGGAGTGTGCAGTGATCAATCTGCAAGAGCACAACCTGCTCTGCAGTCATATGCGGCCCTCTCTCTGCATGCTCAACTCCGTCTCTGCCTGCACAAATCTCCCTGTTGTTGCTCAATTTGCAATTTACATAGCAATGTAGCCTCTCCGTCAGCCAATCAGACAGCTCTCCATTATGCAATCAAAGCATGTCCAGGAAATACTGCCAGGAAAATTGCACTTTTTTCAGATAAAGAGGACTTTATATAATTATATTTAATTAGGTTGATTAACCCTCCTCTTTTCCTGGGACATTTCCACTGTTCACTTCTTTTTACACATCAATGGATCATTTATGTCTAACCAAACAGAGAATAAACACTTTATATGTTGAAATTAAAAGTCCTCTTTAACTGAAAATAGTGCAATTTAACAGTTTTAGGAATGGGCAATGTGTCTTTTCTGGAAGTCAAATATGGTCACTCTAATCATGACACATGAATTACAACAAAGTATCTTGCAGGCAGTGGATGATGACTGGTAGCTAACCATCAGCAGAAAGCAGTTCTATTAGCTGTTAAATGGGTGTTTTTCTGTAAAGCAGTATTTCCTGGACATGCTTTGATTGGATAAAACAGAGCTGTCTGTGATTGACTGTTGGAGAGGCTACTTGTTGAGGAGAGCAGGGAGAGATTTGCATCGCAGAGATAGAGTTGAGCCCACAGAGGGCTGCAGCTCCTGCACACAAGCGCAGAGCAGGTTCTGTTTGTGCAGACTCATTACTGTACGCTCAAGTTGGTGGCACTAAGTCACTCAATTAACTGGCTGGCTCGTTAATCACGTCACTTCAGGGGAGTTTTCCGACCATTTAACTATGGCGCGGCTTTTCATTATGGTTTGCGGCATGTAAACATGCTAGCGGAGTTAGCATTAGCATGTCGGTGCGGTAACATTTTCCTCTCTCGTCTGAACTATAACCTTGAAATATTAACGGTGTGCTGCTGTTGCCGTCTTACCCTAATGTGATGTTGAGTGACTTACAAGAGCGCTGAGCAGGGTTTGCTCATCGATATAAAGGTTTTGCTGTATAACCCCTGCCCCTGACTTGTCAACAAAGCTGCCGGGCTTAAGGGGAGGAAGTCCTTTCTTGATACTTCCTGTGTGCGACGGTGTAGTTCTATATTCATTAATTATTATTTCTGTTTCAGACTAAAAAAAAAACCTCATGTACCAACTACACGTGTTGTGATTGTGTTGAGCATGTAGATGTGAAGAAATAAAAAAAAGTTAACTGAAAAAATAAACCAAAATGATAGGGGGGCTTGTGATTATTTTAGGGGGGCTGAAGCCCCCCTAAAACGGACCTAACGACGTCAGCGACCTGTAGAATGAAATGTGTGTTTTGAGAGTTTTGATTTCAAACTTGTACCTTGATTTTTTCAATTTGGAAGTCTGCTAGTTACAAAATGAAAGTTTCATGTTTCTGAATGAATGTTTGATGTTACAAAATGAGTAGTAAATGTACAAAATAAAAGTTTGATTTTACAAAATAAAAAATACATGTACAAAATACAACGTTCCTGTTACAAAACAAGAAATACAAGTACAAATTGAGAATTACAAGTTAGAAAACTAAAGTTACAAGTTACGAATCCAAAGTTACATGTGATGAAACATGTTTGAAGTTACAAAACTTGGTACAAGTTACGCTGAATATTGTCCCAATCCTAGTTCCATACAAAACTACCAAAACAAAGTGGAGACTTACCTCTTACATCAGGAAGAATCCCTGTGTTTCGAGCGTTATCCGTTCTTTCATAATCCGTTTTTGAATTGTAATCGACTGTGCAGTGGCGTAGTGGTTAGAGCTGTTGCCTTGCAGCAAGAAGGTCCTGGGTTCGCTTCCCGGCCTGGGATCTTTCTGCATGGAGTTTGCATGTTCTCCCTGTGCATGTGTGGGTTCTCTCCGGGTACTCCGGCTTCCTCCCACAGTCCAAAAACATGACTGTTAGGTTAATTGGTCTGTCTAAATTGTCCTCAGGTGTGAGTGTGTGTTGACCGCCTGATTGCCCGTTGACCACTGGAGATAGGCACCAGCCCCCCCCCCCCCCCTTCCCCCCCGCGACCCTGCATGGACAAAGCGGGTTTGGAAAATGGATGGATGGATGAATTGTGATCGGCAGACGCTTTTCCGGTTCGTGCCTCACTTTTATTTTTTACTGGAACGGCCCAAAACGATCTCATGACGTGTGACGCATGCGGATGAAGATCGGCTTCAGAGCTGAGATGTATGTTCTCTCGGTGCGGGGGCTCGTTCCGATGCCCAAACAAACAAACAAAATGCAAATGACGATTTTAGTTGTCATTGGCAGTGAATGAGTTAACTGCTTTCTAAACTCAGTTGCATCCAATGAAAAGGCAATAAACAATCTTAAATTAACAATTTTTTTAACTTTAAGCTAGAGCTTTAACATCTATCTCAGTGATTTCTCAGTTAGAAACTTGACCAGTGTCATATTTGGCACCACTCTGCAGCCCACTGCTAACCAAAAACTGCACTTGATAGTTTTGTGGAGAGGTAGGTGTTTTAGGGGATGCTCTTTAACAGCTGTACGGCTGTTAGCTGTAATGCTAGTGGTTAACATTTTCGGTTTGCTGGTCATCAATAAAAAGCACAAGAAGAATAAAATGAGATGTTTGCTTTTCCTGTTGGTACCATAGTAGGGCCTGGAAATAAAAGTGAAATTGTCGGCTTGTAAAAATTCGTAATTACTATGACTACAAATCAGACGTTGGTACGTCGCATAGATCACGTAACCACAAAATCTCCTCTCCTCTATCAGAGCTGCTACTTACCAAATGGACATATTCACACAAAACCTAAAATAACGTTTCCCCAGTTTGAAAATAAGCTTTTTCATGGTGTTAAAATGCTTCTTTAAAATTCACGGACATAATATGTGAAAACCATGGCACAAAACAAGCAGAATTTGAAAATTGCATTTTTAGTCCCATTGACTCTTTCATTTTTTTTGTTTTTCCGGGGAACCATAGTCCGGAAGTAGATGGCCGTGACTTAGCGCATTTCTCAATGTCAAGGCGCCTGGCCTTGGAAAACATCGCCTTGCGAGGCCAGGCTCCTTGCTTACGAGGACACTGTCTTTCCTTGGTCAAAGAAAAAGGTTAAATGGAACAGACATGCATCACGTGACCGTGGCTTCTGCGGCGGTCACGTAACGTCACGTGACACGGGAGGTAATGTTATATTTTATACGTATAGGTTTCAATATAAATATATAACGAGACTTTGACTTTTTAAATTGTGTACATATTTGTAAAATTAAATATGTAAGCAAGTTACTACCTGCTAGCCATCGATGCTGCAACTACTAGGCAACTAACCAACCATAGATAACTAGCCTGGCCTGCCAGACTCGCCCTCTGTTTAGTTTTACACAGAGAAAGAGTCTGGTAACAAATATCGCCCCCAAGGGGTGGCCAGGGCCACCCCTTGAAAATTGCTGGCCCCCCAGCAAAAGCCAGTGTAAATGAATCATATTAATGTTCGCTCAAACCATATATTGATTGTATTTGTAAAACAAAATAAAAATAATACAATTAATGAGTGAATAAATAATCAGAATAAAAAATACATATGTTTCTGCTGCTCACCATTTATAAAAAGTTTTTATCTCCATTGATCTTTGTGAATACAGCAACAGGTGAATTAAACTAAAATATACATTTTAAAATAAAATTTGAAATAAATTTTTAAATAACTGAAATGTAGTTTTCTGAAAAATTTGCGTTTGTAAAATATAAGTTAAACGTTTTGGATATGTACTGTTTCTTAAAATAAAAACGAATAAAGGAGCAATGCAATACTTAACCACAGGTTAAACTCTTCCAGAGTTACCACAAGAACCAATTTGGTGTGCCACCCCAAAAAATTTTTTGGCTCCGTCTGGCCACCCTTGTCAAAATTTTCTGGAGGCGACCCTGCTGGTAACTCACAGGCAGAGAAGCACTTGAGGGGTGGGACTAGGCAGCTCAAAAATAACCAATCAGAAAAAAGACGGAAATGCTGTAGTTTTTTAGCTGTAGTAAAAAAAAGGCGCAAACATATTTTATTTTATTTTTAGAAGAAATGCTTTTAGCACTTCTACTTGCTGTGGTTTTAAATACATTAAAGTCATTTAGAACAGAGGAAAGAGCCGCAGCGAACTCCGCCAGTGTCTTTGTTGTTTATGAGAAACTGAGCGTCGCTGTGTGTGACGTCCGCAACACTATAGTTTTTCAGCTGTAGTCAAAAATGGTGTCTGGCGACAGCGCAAACACCTTTTTTTAGAAGAAAGGCTTTTAGCGCTTCTACTTGTTGTGGTTTTAAAGACATTCAAGTCATTTATAACAGAGGAAAGAGCCGCAGTGAACTCCGCTTCAGTCGCCATGTTTATGACAAACTCGGCGTTATGGTGAGTGACGTACGCTACTCAGCGCTGATTGGTTCGGTTAGAATTCTCACGGGGTGGGGTTATTTGAATAGGAGAGTTTCCAGAGCCTTTCTCTGTGCAGAATTAAACAGAAGAGGAGTCTGGCAGGCCAGGCTAATTGATAACTGCTTTGGATGTAAAAAAAAAAACCTTTTAATATATAAGCTGATAGCTACTATCAGTTGATTTAAATTAAAACTGGAAATTTGCCCCCAAAGTAGCTGCCGGCTTCTGATCCGCCATTCTTTAGAAAATACCGTGGTGTATTCTCGGAAATTTTTGACGAAGGCTAGGCTACAAGACACCTCCCGTGTATCCTTGCACAGCTAGCTAAACAGCTAACAAACGGAGAACAGACGCCTCGGTAGAACATGAGCATTGGAACACACCTTGGTGGTTCCTGATGACGTATTTCCTTGGCAACTGGGGCGGGGCAAGACATCCTTGGCATTGAGAAACACCCATAGGCTCCCTATACTGAACTCATTCACGACATCCTTCTTGCATCTCTTGCTGCTCTTCTTCAGCACTTGAACATCTCGGTATCAGAGTACAGCTTTCACAGGGGATATTCTCCAACAGTGAGCCTTAAAAAAATCAGCTTAAAAGGGAAAAAAGCAAAAAACAGATTTGAATTTTTTACATTTATTACTGAACAGGAACTTCAAAATGACTTGGGCTAACAATTTGGAATGAATAATTCAAACTTTGAACTGTAATGCATCTTCTTAAAAAAGTTTGAACCTTGTATCTTTTTTTTTTAGCAGTTTTTAAGACCATTTATTTTTGTAAACTTTCAGACGTTTTTATTTGATGTGGTAGACCTTGAAGCAGTTTTTCTCCAGCTGCAGGCAGAGTCCTGCACACCTCACACTGCCATGGGGTTCTTCTCTTGCACACCGTGCACTGCTATGCCAAAAACTTGTTTTAGCAAAAATAATTATTTATTGTAAAAAGATAAATAATGCTGGAATGAAGCTGAATCTTACAATTAGCAAATAGTTGAGGGTTGTTCAAATAAAAAAAGACAGAACAAACATTCATACCCTGGTTCACTGGAGATCTGTCCTTCTTCGTGGTCACTGTCTTCAGATATAAGCCTCTGGGACGCCTAATAGATCGTGTTGATTTTCTTTGAGGCATTTCCATAATTTCATGCTGGTATTTATGCTAATTAGCTTCCCCGTTCCGTTATCCGCTTTCACCGCGGCACTGTGCTCCGTTTCAGTCAGGCTGTAGGCTTCAGTAGGATTTCCCCTCGTAGCGATATTTTGCATAACTCTGATTGCTTCATGCTGTAGATCGTTGGAAAGCTGCTTTTATGTACTTTTAGGAACCGTTTGAATTTCTTGAATCTGATCAGCCATTCAAAAGTTATAAAACGGAGCATTTTGGATGGCAAACTTAGCACGTCTCTAAATCTGCGTTGTGATTCATTGCGGTCAAGACAGGGAATCCCGGTGAATACCGTAATGTATTGTATATGCACGAAAAGCCCCATTTTTAATCTTTTCAGCACTTTTAGAACTTTAATATCTTGAATGGTTCCGGAATTATGGTAATGAGAAGTGCACATGTCCAATCCCGTCTGCGGTGACAGGTTGGTAATTAGAATATTGTGGCATTAACAGAGGGGTGCCGACGGTTAGGGCTAGGGGGCCCCCAACACAAGGGGGCCCCAGGCGGCCGCCGACCTATGCCTAATGGTAAAACTGCCTCTGAGTGTAGGGGGTGCCGTCTTTAGGAGATAGCATTTTTCCAGAGCTCATTTGGGACGCTTCAGATGAAACTGAAACAACAAGGTACACAGTGTCACCTAAATTCATTAATAGACATGATCTGATTCTGTTTTGAGGGTCAGTACTAATGATCAATAATTGTACTGCTCTGATTTGCTGATTTATGATTTTTATATACCTGGAAATTATAAATCAGGATGTTTAAAGCTTCCAGACAGAAGATCTTTTATTGGTAGAATGAATTAGCAATGTGAGATCACAGATAAGAAATTACACAATATCTTGGAGATCTACGTTAATGTAAAATTGTAGTTTTCTTTGCCCCTAACAGAGCGTAAGCAGTGTGATGCTGCTGAGTGTTTGCAGAACATTCTAAGAAGCCTGACTGATTCAGTGGCCTCACAGGTGGAGATGTCATTGTAACCTTAATGAATTTGTCATTTAAAAAATGGAATATAATTCTAACATGTTTGAGATTGTTTTTCTTAAGCTATTTAAAGGTGTGATAATGCGCAAGAACAAATGCTCTAAATGTACGAAGGAGACCGGAACATCTGAGCAATTCTGGAGTCTTCCTCTTGAACTGGTGGATAGTTTCCAAGACTATAGTGTGGTAAGGAATCGTGTCTCACTTTGCAATAAGTAACCATTAAATGTCCATAGAGTTAATCTTCTTTAATTTTTATTTATTTGGGGCAATAAGGATTATGATGTCAAGCAAGTTAAAATATTGTTACTACCACTAATTTTAGTACTCGTCCTAAAATTATTTCTACTACTACTGCTACTACTACTACTACTACTAGTACTACTATTATGACCTCTACTACCACTACTACTACTAATACTACTACTACTAGTACTACTATTATGACTTCTACTACTACTACTGCTACTACTATTACTACTAGTACTACTATTATGACTTCTACTACTAATACTGCTACTACTAGTACTACTATTATGACTTCTACTACTACTACTAATACTACTACTAGTACTACTATTATGACTTCTACTACTACTACTGCTACTACTACTACTACTAGTACTACTATATGACTTCTACTACTACTACTAATACTACTAGTACTACTACTACTACTACTACTACTACAACTATTATGACTTCTACTACAACTATTATGACTTCTACTACTACTACTATTACTACTACTATTACTAATACTACTACTAGTACTACTATTATGACTTCTACTACCACTACTACTACTACCACTACTACAAATACTACTACTACTAGTATTACTATCATAAATTCTACTACTACTACTACTACTACAAATATTACTACTACTACTAGTACTACTATTATAACTTCTACTACTACCACTACTACTACTACTAATACTACTAGAATCAGAAGTAGCTCAGGAGGTAGAGTGGGTTGTCCACTAATCGGAGGGTCCCAGGAAAAATCCTGGCTTCTGGTAGAGAATGCTGCTGTCATGTCCTTGGGCAAGACACTTAACCAACCTTGCCTGCTGGTGGTGGTCGGAGAGACCGGTGGCGCCAGTGCTCAGCAGCCTTGCCTCTGTCAGTGTGCCCCAGGACAGCTGTGGCTACATTATAGCTCATCCCCACTAGTATGTGAATGTGTGTGTGACTGGGTGAATGACTGATTGTGTTGTGAAGCACCTTGTGGGGTTCTAGGACTCTATAAGGTGCAATATCAATTTCAAACCATTTACCATTTCACTACTGATACTTTTGATAATGTAGTATAATTAAAATGTTATAAAAATATCTTTTTTATCCATCCATCCATCCATCCATCCATTTTTGGCCGCTTATCTGGAGTTGGGTCTTGGGGGCAGCAGCCTAAGCAGGGAGACCGAGCCTTCCCTCTCCCCAGCCACTTGGGCCAGCTCCTTCAGGGGAATCCCAAGGTGTTCCCTGGCCAACAATGAGACTTAGTCCCTCCGCAGTGTGTCCTGGGTCATACTTTAGGTCTCCTTTTGGTTGGACGTGCCCGGAAAACCTCAACACGGAGGCATCCAGGAGGCATCCTAACTAGGTACCTGAGCCACCTCAACTGACTCCTCTTGACGTGGAGGAGCAGCATCTCTACTCCGAGCCCCTCCTGGATGACCAACCTTCTCACCCTATCTCTAAGGGACCAGCCACCCTGCTGAGAAAACTATTTTCGGCCACTTGTAGGGCCCGCAATCTCGTTCTTTTGGTCACTACCCAAAGCTCGTGACCATAGGTGATGGTAGGAACGTACAGGGTTTCCCCCAGCGCTTTATAAGCCTGGTGGCCCGCCAGGCTTTGCTTGGGCACCCGCCAGGCTACGCGTCATGCCCCGCCCCCCTCCCTGACCCTAATGTGTCCGCTGACACGAACGGCGCAATGAAACTAGAGCCCTCCATCAGCTAATACTGGTGAGAAACATAAGCGGAACGTGTACCCCCCCCCCCCCCCCCCCCCCCCGCCCCCGCTCTCATGGAGGAGCGTTAGGGGACGGAGCACGGGACCCCCCCCCCAGAGAAACTTAAACTCCTCCACTTGGGGCAGGACCTCATCCCTGACCCGGAGAAGGCATTCTACCCTTTTCCGATTCAAGACCATGGTCTCAGATTTAGAGGAGCTGATTGTCATCCCAGCTACTTCACACTCGGCTGCAAACTGCTCCAATGAGAGCCAGATATCACGTTCTGATGAAGCCAACAGGACCACATCATCTGCAAGCAGCAGAGACCTGGTCCTCAGACCACCAAAACGGATCTCCCAACACCTGGCTGCTCCTAGAAATCCTGTCCATAAAAGTTATGAATAGAATTGGTGACAAATTGGTGGAGTCCAACTCTCACTGAGAACAAGCTTGACTTACTGCCGGCAATGTGGACCAAGCTCTGACACCAGTCATACAGGGACCTAACAACCCGTATCAGAGGGCCTGGTACCCCATACTCCCGGAATACCCCACAAAGGGGACTCCGAGGGACGCGGTCAAATGCTTTATCCAAATTCACAAAACACATCTAGATTGGTTGGGCAAACTCTCACGTACCCCTAAAGGTATAGAGCTGGTCCAGTGCATTTTGATATGATAGTCTAGTTTGTGTTATATTTGTTAGTAAAGATGAGAGATGACTGATATAAATGTATTTTTGTTTTCAGGCCGATGGCATCATCAAGTATTTCAGCGAGTCTAATGTCAGTGGACAAGACCAATTGTTCTGTGTAGACTGCAACAGCAAGTCCGATTCTACTGATGTAAGTTCCACTGTTGGTGATTTATTTTGAATAAACTGGATTATTGATTTTGCAGGTTCTAGTACACTTTAGAATAATGAGTTGACAATAATCCAATTCTCTTAATTTACAAAAAGCCAAGATTCAAAGTAATTTCTGTCTACAAAATGCAGGTTTGCATATTATTTTACTGAATGCTTTAAAGGAGACATATTATGGCTTTTTTTCTCAAGTTATGGGGCTAACTGTGAAGGACCTAAAATGATAAATGTGATGTGTTATTGCTTATTGTTTGAACACTGTTGCTAACCACTTAAACATTCTCCCTCTCCTGATAATAACATTTAACTTTCTTTGACATTGAATGTGCTACTACTAGTTTACCCGTTTAATTATAGATACACTAGGATAAATACAATAAAGTTTATCTCTCACCAAATAGAATATTTACTAAGAAATCACAATGTAACCATAGAAACAGTACTTGGTATGTGTGTGTGTGTGTGTGTGTGTGTCTGAATTGAATTATTTAGTATTAATAATCCTATATTTCACCATGAATGACGTGTTTCTGTCTGCTATATATTGCTAGATACTAATATTGTTCCAACGCAGGATTACTTGTGTAAAAATTATGTGTTTTACAGTACAGACCAAAAGTTTGGACACACCTTCTCATTCAATGTGTTTTCTGTATCTTCACGACCATTTACATTGGGAGATTCTCACTGAAGGCATCATAACTATGAATGAACACAAATTGTGAAATAACTGAAAACATGTTTTTTATTCTATTTTCTTCAAAATAGCCACTCTTAGCTCTGATTACTGCTTTCGACACTCTTGGTATTCTCTCGATGAGCTTCAAGAGGTAGTCCTTCAAGACTGTTGGAAAACCATTTCATAGTTCATTGATGCCTTCAGTGAGAATTTACCAACGTAAATGGTCATGAAAATAAAGAAAACACATTGAATTAGGTGTGTCCAAACTTTCCTTGTTAATTAATTAATTAATTACCAAATGAATGATTAATTAATTATAATTAATCAATTCAATCAATTAATCAACCAATCAATCAATCAATTAATTAATTAACAAGGAAAGTTTGGACACACAATCAATATTTATTTTCACCAAATTTTCCACTAACATCAACATCCCACTGAAAAAATGCAAACTTTTTAGAAAATTTCCCCCTGTTTTCTTTTCCTAATTTTAAAAACAAAAACAAAACCTAATCTTTTACAGTAGACATTTAGGGGAGAGAAAACAAAAATGACTGACTTTAATCACTAAAAAAAAGAAAGATTTAAACTTAATGTTCTGACTTTTTTTTCTCAGAAGTCTCAAAATAATAAAGGCTCTATTTAAATTATTTCAACTGTTCTTTCATGTTCTTCAAAATGGTTTGGCTTGTATGAAACGAGACAAACACCTTGTCTGTGTTAGATTCTTATTTGGGTTGCTTTACCAACACCAGCACCAACCTATGATTACTGAGAAACCTGCTTTGTGACAGAGAAACTGAACCATCACAGACTCATTCTGAACACTTGAATGGCAGCTCTCGTGGTCTGCCTTTATCTGTTTTAATCTGCATGTTTTGTGTGTGTAAGCTTGGTCAGGCTGGAGGTTTGTGAGCGGCACGTGCTCCGAACCTGCGTCAAAGCCCCGCCTCCTAGCTTGATTGTGAGGTGAAAAAAAAAGTATCTGTCTGTCATTTATACAAGATTCAAACATGAATTGGGAGACAGTCAAAAATGCCAGATGGTGTCTCAATTAGCAGGACCTGTGAAAAGTAATGGAAATTCGGGACTGTCCCACAAAGCAGGAACCTTGGTCACCCTAACGGCATCATATCAGCCCCCCTTGAAGGCACAAAGCTTTATCCACTATACAACCTCAATACGACAACTGAATTGCCTAAGACACACATATTTTACATGCATTGTATGGAAACGGGCGTGGGCAGAGCACTGGAGCTGTTTCCAAGGATGTTTCTCTCATTTGTTGCTTCATGGGGGCCCATGATGATGAACCCTATGTGAAATTTTGCTGCAAAGAAAAAAAAATCCTTCTGGAAAACTCCAAATCACAGCAGTTGGTTAGACTTTAAGAGCAATACTTGGAAGAACTACTGATCACTCTGGTATAACATCCAGCAACTGGTTGGGATGACAGAAAGGTGACCATCAAGTGCAAATTACATGTTGAAGTCTGGAGATGGACTGACTGTCCATTTTTAATTGGTCTGAGGAGTGAAAGTGTCCTTTTTACAACTCCAGAGAAGCCCTACATATGTGGATAAATGACTAAAACCATTATTGTTGATTGCCAGTGGCCATGACCAGCCAGATAAATTATGTTTATCGCATAATTCATTGTGCCTTCTTAACTTAGCTATAAGTATAACAAATATATAATGTTTGCAATTTGTTTTCCAAAGTTGACAGTTTACAGAAAAAAATAGTTTCACATGTATGTTTTAACTGCCTCAAATTAAATTCAAATGTTAACTACCATTTTTGTGTTTTAACTAGAAACTGGAAATACAGCACCATCCAGAAGTTCTGACACTAGAGCTGAAAAGATATAAATTCAACTACATTTTGAAGGAGGATGCCAAAATCACCTGCATGGTGCAAATTCCCATGTTCCTACAAATCCCATCAACTGGAGACCAGGTACTCATTTAATTTACTTATTTATATATGAAGCAGTTTCACACACAGCAGTGGCGACTGCAGGCTGAACATGAAAATAGTCTCCTACAATTATCTCCTGCATAGCTTCTGATAGAAAACAGATGGTGAAACTCTAGGGTTGGAAAATCCGGACAGATCTACATCACACTGTCACTTAACGCTCATGGACTCATGACGGGGAAGGCTGTTGTTGGTTTAGCGTCCAGGAAACAGCAGAGAACGTCTCAACTAATGGAAGCTAACCTTTAGCATTAGCAACTTCATCTCACAGCAGGACTTCTTCAGCCTTGTGTTATTTGTAGAAATAAAACATTGCAAAGCAGTTAGTGGTAGAGTCATGTTGCTGTTATCCAATCAGAAGAAAGATGCTCAAATATCAGGAAAGAAGACTCCAATTCCTGCTGTCTGAAGCTCAGCTGTGTTGTGGCTCATGCATATTTCCTGGAAGTGGTGCACCGGTGTATTTTGTCTCCAATGTAGTGTTACAACCCGATCTACGAGGAAGGGAGACAAAACAGAGGAGTGGGGGTTTAACAAACTGATTTATTTAACAAAACTAAGGAATTACTAAAGCAATTTAATGAACAGAAAATGGCTACTGAGGACTGTCCACCACACAGGAGAGCCTCCTGAAAGCTGAAAGCAGAAAACTAGCAGGCTTTGTAGGCACTGCAGCACCACACCCTGACCCCAGGTGCCTCCAAGGCTGCTTAATGAGCTGCCTGCAACTGAAGAAAAAAGTACACAATTAAACACATATAAGCACCTGAGACGGGGAAGGAGGGGGGTCCACAGTGGCCTCAAGGAAACAGCGGGGGATGCCTCAGCTAGTGGAAGCTAACTGTTAGCATTAGCTACTCCACCACACAGCAGAACCCCTTCAGGCTTCAATTATATGTGGATAAAACATCAATTTTGCAGAGCAAATTGAGTCAGTGGTAGAGTTCCATTGCTGTTAGCCAATCCGTGGCAAGAAGTCCAAATATGCAGAAATAAGACTCCAAATTCTGCTGTCTAAAACTACTTTCTCCTCTGGTTGAATTCTCAGTGCTATTCAAAATACGAGTAAAGCCAGCAGCTTGCTAATTAAAAGACAGAAAAAGAAAATAAGCAAAATTTTAATCTCTGCAAGATGGTAACCTGCATTCCACAGTCTTGGTGCCAAAACAGAGTAGGCACAACCACCCCTAGTGTTAAGCTTTGACCTCGGGACCACTCTCTACTAAGCAGCAGAGCAAAGGAAACTTGCTGGAACATATTTCTGTAACTTAATAGGGAGAATAATTGATGCAGTACCTGTAAGAAACTTACAAACAAACTCAAATCCTAAAAGAGATCTGATGTTGCACATTACGCCAACAAAATGAAGACTAAACCTGGGAGATTTCTTCTAATTTCTTATTCCATTGATAAACCTGACTGAAGAGCTCAGCACCAATAGCAACCTTGAAATTGTGTTTTGAGGCGGCCAAGCATGCCGGGTGTTGAAATAATCCAGCCTAGATAGGATAAATGCATGAATCGCATTGTGAAGATGTGTTTTTGGCGGTGTGGAACAGATGAGGCCTGGTTTCTGTAGATATTCCGGACAGACTGACATTCACACAGACTGGTTTGTGAGCTTGAACATCTCCAGATATTTGCTCCCACAAGAGCACCAAATGATTAGAAAATTGACATACCGGTAATACGTTTAAAGACATACTTGTAAAAACGTGAACTATCATCCACTATTAACTGACATCTCCATCATTAATAATAAAAAAAAATAAGCCAGCAAAAACAATGCAACACAGGTTGTACTTTGAAATATACTGGTTGCACCGTGCTGAAACGCGTCTCACTTCATGTCTGGCTCGTGTAATTTATTTAAATTCATGACAATCTGTATGTGACGTTCGGAGAAAATAGAGGCCACGCAGAAACTCTCCAGAGCTCCGCATTTGGATCTCCAACGCAGCCTAGCCTGTTTGCTCTTAAAGGAACTATAAGGAAGTTTGACAGCCAAAACATGTATAGAAATAATAAATTTCTTCTTCATACATTCTCCTGCAATGCCCTGGTCCTGTAGAATGAGCGCTGGCATTTTTACTGTGATTGCCTGTTTTTCTGTAAAATCACAGAAAAAGAGAGATGCTCAGGTCGAGCAGGCTGCTTCATGCGCGTTCACGCTCAGGCATCGCCCGTAGCATTTGCTGTCCGTAGATTTAGCAGCAGAGAGAGAGTGCCAACTCAGCGACTTTGTCGCTGTTCCTAATGAAACTAGCTACATTTCTGAGGACCTTTAGCTACTTTCTGTAGAACTTTCTTCTAGATATTTCCTGCAAATTAGCAACAAAATAGCCATTTTTGCTCCGAAACATTCGTTGGATTGACATTTGGATTGGAGTTTCTTTTTTACATTTGTGGTATATTTTTTTACAGTAAGACGCCCACATTTTTATTTGAGACTCACCGAACGGCATTCAATTCACGGATAAAAAAGATGTGGGTTCAACTTTCAGTTTGGAACAATTTTTCAAGCAAGGGAAGGGAATGATCTGAGCATGCAGGAGGACTGACCCATCATAAACCTTTGTCGGCTGTGCTGAAGAGAAAGGTACACAACCAAATTATTTAATTAATTAGCTGCGTGTCCTCCTGTCCTCTGTCCTCCGGGACACACACACACACACACACACACACACACACACACACACACACACACACACGCGCGCACGCGCGCACACACGCACGCACGCACGCACACACACACACACACACACACACACGACTGTCTCAGCTGTTATTTTTGTTAAGGAGTGTGCACGTACAGCATGCAAACCTCATTCACAAGCTTACTTTTGAAGCTGCAGTTACGCGTTAGGCCTGAGTGGCGATCGTGAGCATAAAACCTTCAAATTTCCTTACAGTCCCTTCAAAGTGATGATGTGTATTCTTCCTTTTGACAGGGGGCAGTACATACCTAAATATTTGCAAGCAAGCAGTACTTTTGTGTTCGAGTAATACCTTACAAGCATTAGGGTAAAAATCCCCGGGAGCACAATTTAACGAGTACTTCATCAGATTGTTCAACCTCCAGCAGAATGAAAAGCACATCAGACTCCCTTTCATTACTGGCAACAAACAAATAGGTAAATGTGTAAAGCAACGTTTATGAATGGAGAAAATTTTGTAACCAGTTGTTACAAATCAGTAAATGTGTTTTACCCTCACGGGCTCCCGCCCAGAGACTTAGATGCATTCTCATGTATTTTAGACCCGATTTTTAGGATTATATGTTTTGAAGCCACCAATATTTTTACCAACTGGGCATCATTTGATACATTTTTAATAACTATTTGATATATATTTCAAGAGATTAATGGTAAAACCTACACAATAGCCACGTTTACATGCACACAACTGATTGAATTGAATGCCCAGTCAGAACAAAAACTCTGCATGCAAACATGTCAGTCGTAATGTTCTGATCCGATTCGACCCGATCGGAATGAAATTTCAAACCGATTGAGAGAGGTGTTTTTTTCCGATCATCATTTCGATTGACGTGCATGTACACAGCCATTCGGATTGTTGGAGTAAAATAATACCCACTGCGCATGTATGCAACAGCCATCGAGCCTCCCTGCCTGCCTGATAGAAAAATGACGGCCTAATTAATGAGCGGCATCTTTTAAATAGGATGGCAAGCCGTCCCCGTTTCAGTACTATCTAATCCAGAACTTTTATTTTGTGGAAGTAAAATAAAAATCTGATTATTGCACAAATCACTCGACAAACGTGTTCAAGTCTGTACTGGAAACATGCAGATTCATTGAGGGGGTTTGCAGCACGGTCAGCTGTTTCTGCAGCAGGTGGGTGGAGACGTACTCGTAAAGACAGGGTAACGTCAGTTAAACAGACCTGGTTTGAGTTTAAGGAGGCAGATGGTGAGTAGAAAAACATCCTCAGTTAAATATTCAGGGCGACTATCTGAGTAAAAGCACGTAAACACAGATGAGGTTTATGAACACATAATGAACATCTCCTGTTATTTAGTTTGAACCAAATGTTCTCAACAGTTTCAGCTGATTGTCACATTTTATTAATAATAAACCACAACTGAGTTTTTTCAGTAATAAAACATGAGTCTGGTGCATGTAAACGTAAATGGACTCAATGATTTATTTTATTTATGCAGAAGCAGCGAGGAAACCGAACCGCATCTGCTCTGCATTTGTTGTGAACGAGGCTTAAGCCTCGGCTTTCTGCTAATAATAGGAAGGGCAAATTCTTCTGAAATAGATACACAAACTGAATGAAACTGTTGAGCAAAAGCATCAGTGCTGACAGGCATTGAGTGCAACTTTGGCTATTCCCTAACAAAAAAAGCCCAAAACTCAGTCGCTATTGGTGAGTTTGAAACTTTAGAAGGACCAGATTTTAATGCTGGAAAAGCAGGTACAGTAAAGAGTCAAATACAGTTGTAGAATGATCAGAACAATGTGTCAACAACATTCAAAGTTGTAATATGCAAACCTAATGTGAGCATGGAGTCAAAAGTGTGTCCATGCTCACGTGTTGGACCAGTGATCCACTGAAAAACTAAAAGAGTCTAATACACTAACAAAGCTTCTCACTAATGGCTTGTCAGGACAGCAAACATAAATATGAAGGTCCCCAACAAAATAAAACATGATTTTGGGACATAAATGGCTAGGAATTCTGTTAAGTCTTTTATAAAATCCACATTGAACTTTGGCAGATGATAACTCCAAGGAACGTAGGAGGACCCAGACTAAAAACAAAACCACCCAACGCCCGAAGGTCTCAGAACATTAAAAGACAGTCAATTGGCAGCATCTCCAATAATAATACCATTTCATTTAGATTGTCTGCCATTTTTAATCGAGTGTAAATTATTTTTATTACTATATTTTGTTTTGTTTACACCCATGTTTGTTGAAATTTCTTGTAACTTTGTGTGATGCTTGACCAGGTCTCCGTTGAAAAAGTAATTAATTTTTCATCCCAAACTTTCATTTACAGCATTTTATTGTTTTCTCATTATCAGAGTCAGAGATATGAGGTGTACGCATGTGTGGAGCTTTTTGGTGACAGAAAGAGAAATGGAATATACACTGTAAACATAAAATCCCAGGATGATGACAAATGGTACCACTTTAATGGCATCAGTGTCAGACCGGTATGTTTTTCATGTTATTGTTTGATAAACATGATTACTTTAACACAGAAAATGGTCTTGGTGGTAATACAAGTTACTTTTCTACACAGAGTTGGCCCCAGCCCTTCCAGAGGAGTGAAGAAGAAAAGTACATTTTCGTCTATTTTTATATTTTTCTGTTGTTTTTGGACAGAAATTGCGATTTCAAACAGCACGATCATGTGACCATCAAAGCGGCGGTTTTAGCTGTTTTGACTGATCCAGGATCAGTTGTGTAACTCTTTTTTACATCCGGGGTTTTCCCCGTGTGTTCTGGCGGCGGCGTGTGTACCATCCAGAGCTGAGCCGCCCAGCTCCACAGCTGACAGAGCTGCATGTTCAGCTTATTTTCCCTGTTTTATGTTCCCTCACACAGCGCTGCTAGAGCCCATAATAATGGCACCGTAGGTGAGCCCGGGAGAGAGAGAGAGAGAGAGAGAGAGAGAAAGAGAGAGAGAGAGAAGTTGAGAAGGGGAGAGAGAGACTCCTCCCACATCAGCAGGCTCAGGCTGATTTCTAAAGCTCGGTTTATGCTTCATCAGCCTGCCTTGTGGTGATGGGAATTACGGCTCTTTTTAGAGAGCTGGTTCTTTTGGCTCAGCTCACCAAAAAGAGCCGGCTCTTTCGGCTCCCAAGTGGCTTCTCAGATTCTCTGTTGCGTAGAGTACACTTGTAAACAAAATAATGGAAAATTATATGTAAAATGATTTACTAATGTAAAAAAATGCAATATGTCTAATATTTATCATTTATATGGATTTAATAACTGAACACTTTAAGAAATCTCCACTTTATGACTGCTGGCGCTCATTTTCTCACCGTCTTTGTCGCACTCTCCTCTCGCTCGCCTTTTTCCTCCTCCTCATTCCCTCTCGTCTCCCTCCACCCGCATGTGCTCTGCTGTGTGTCTGAGTCTGATCCTCCCTCTTCCCTGCCCCTACTGCTCTGTGTGTGGACAGTCTGGACACACAGTTACACATGCTGACCAATCGCCTTTAGCTTTCACCAAAGCAAGGGGGGGGGGGGGGGGGGGGGTGCTCCCAATGATGAGCCGGCTCCCGTCGTTCACTTCAAAGAGCCGGCTCTTAGAGCCAGTTCGTTCGCGACCAACACATAACTACTGCCTTGGTAATGCAGGGAAAACTGTGCATTTTCTGTTATTTAATATATTAAAAAGCTGTTTCTACCTACAGATTTCCTCCATGCATTTTTGGAGTAGAACATGTTTTTATAAAGCTCCTCTAGATAAAATCACAACTTTCTTCACAAACACATTAAAAATAAAATAATAATAATAATGGGAGAAAATATTAATAGCTTTAACTGTTTTTATTGTATGATTAAATAGTAAATATTAATGTGAATGATTTGTTGTACTAGATTAGAATCTAGACCATCTTTTCACTTAATCTACAGGATGGCTTGGCAGGCTAGGTTGGACCTTTGTTTGCAGAAAATCGTGAATTGAACTGAAATTGCAATTTCTGCCAAAAAAATTGTAATTCAATCTTTTCCTAAAATCAATCAGCCCTAGTTTTTTTTGCTAAACATGCCAATATTTTATTGATATTTTCTTTCCACTCTAACTAGAAACAAGAATGCCTGCCTGCTGTTCTACAGGAAAAGTAAGATCGGAAATATCATTTCTATGCTAACTTTCCTGACTATGAGGCTTTTTGAGAATCTACTTAAACTTTTATTTGGTTAATTTCCAGTTCCTGCTCCAAACATCAAAGAGGCGTCTACATCTGGAGACGTAGAAACAGAAAAAACAGCAAAAAATGAAATGGATGTAGAGACAAAAGAACAGAGTGGTAGTGAGGCAGCAGCACAGGAACCTGATGAACAGGATAAAACGAGTTTGATTCCAGGTAAGAAAAATGTGAACAGTGAAAAGGAGAGAGGTCAAAACAAAACCTTAAATGTTCTTCAAGAACATGATGAGAAAAGCATGGACAGTGTTAGGGAGGAGACACATGAAAGTAATGGTGTTCCTCAAGAACAAGAAGAATTAATAATGATAACTCGTCAAAGAAGGAATGAGACTGAGAAGCATTTGACCGAACCAGATCTAGAGGAACTGGTAAAAATGGAGGTGATGGCGAGCAAAGTGTTGATGATGCTACTGAGGGACTTAATGACAGGACATGTGTGGACAAACAAAAAGACGGAGAGAAGAAGATGACTTCTCATTGTAAAGATGAGAAACTCACCAAGACACATTGTACTTCCTTTAGTCAAATAGATCAAATATCAGGTGTGATTACAAAGATTTCAATTTGGTCAATTCTGAACAGAAATGACCCAATGAGTGATTTATTTACACAAATAATTAATGAACTCTTTAAGGCTTCAAGTACAAGGGCTTGCTGAACCAAGGATCAACATGTCACCTGAACAGCGTTCTCCAGGTGTTGTTCATGACCAGAGAGTTCAGAGAGGCCGTGGAAAGGTTGGTTGTGGGATTAAAACTCAGTTTAACGTTTAAATGAACAGAGATTATAATCTGATTCTGTGTCACTCATGATAGATCATGTTTTTCCTTTCAGGTACAACAATGAAGACGACTCTCCTGATTTCCATCTTAAAAGTCTTTTTATGGATTTGAAGAAAAATACAGGCGACACTAAACACATCACTAAGAAACTGGACATTACATCAGGTACACTTAAGATTTCTTTCATGCTGACAAGTTACTGGTTTGCAAGAGGTCTCAATGGTCCACATATATTTAGACAAATGAAATAATAATAATAATAATAATAATAATAATAATAATAATAATAATAAATTATTATTATTATTATTATTATTATTATAAATGTAACTTAACTGTTAAATACAAAATATGGAGCAAACATGGACGGAAATGACAAGAAATGCGGGTTTAGAGGTGGCAACCGCATGAAGAGGTGGAGGAGAATGAAGGACAAATATGTCCGTGTTTTAAAGTCTCTGAATTATATAAACCCATTAGTAAATACACTATTGTGGACTGGATACATGAGTGTTATGGTGGCAGGATACCACAGAAAAGCTCTATGCCCTCTGTTGTCTTGCCAGGCTGTTTCTTTGCAACACTCTGCTTCCTGCGCAGAAGTTTCTTCCTGACACTCCATTGTGGAGCTCATGGAGAAGTATAAATCAGGATTTAGTGCAGTAGAGATTTTTTGTAGCTTTGGCCACATCTGTGCCTTAGTACAATTCTATCTCTGAGCTCTTCAGGCAGTTCCTTTGATATCATGATTCTCATTTGCTCTGACTTGCATTGGGAGCTGTAAGGTCTAACATAGACAGGTGTGTGTGTGGCTTTCTTAATCAAGTCCAGTAAGCTTAATCAAACAAAGCTGGACTCTAATGAAGGTGTAGGGCCATCTCCAGGATGGCCAGAAGAAATGGAAAGCACCTGAGTTAAATATATGAGTGTCACAGGATCTGAATACTTAGGACCATGTGATAGTTCAGTTTGTCTTTTTAATAAATCTGTAGACATTTCCAAATTTGTGTGTTCTTCTGTCAGTATGAGGAGTTGTGTATACATTAATGAGGAAAAAAAACGAGTTTAGCTGATTTTAGCAAATGGCTGCAATATAGGGAGCCTAAGTCACGCCCATCTACTTCCGGACCATGGGTCCCCAGAAGAACAAGAAAATGAATGCAAGTCAGTGGGCTTAATAACACTATTTTCTAATTCCGTTTGTTACGTTCCATGGATTTCACATATGATGTCCGTGAATTTTAAAGACACACTTTGATACCAAGAACGCGCTTATTTTCGAACAGGGGGAAACTATTTTAGGTTTTGTGTGAAATTAAGTCCAGGACTGTCACGGTGTAGGAGGTGGAGATGATGGACCATGTGTGGTTGAGCTGAGCAGGAGGAAAAATGCAGGCTTCAGTAAAAGTAAAAATGGTTTAATGGCAGGATGGGATGAACAGAAACACCAGCAGACAACAACAATGAACTGACAAAGGACAGGGGCAAAACAGGTGGTTTAAATACAGAGGGCTAATTAGGGAAACATGGACAGGTAAACGAGGGACAGGTGAGAACAATAAGGGTAATCATGGCAGGAGAGGAACACAGTCAGGCGGGCAGGGGCAGATCGTGACAGTACCCCCCCCCCCCCCTTAAGGGCGGATACCAGACGCCCATAAGGCCACACGACACAGGAGACGGGGACTCAAAGACTGGACATGACAGGAACAGGAACTCGAAGACTGGACATGACAGGAACAGGAACTCGAAGACTGGACATGACAGGAACAGGATCTCGAAGACTGGACATGACAGGAACAGGAACTCGAAGACTGGACTTGACAGGAACTCGAAGACTGGACTTGACAGGAACTCGAAGACTGGACTTGACAGGAACTCGAAGACTGGACTTGACTGGAACAGGGACTTGACTGGAACAGGGACTTGACTGGAACAGGGACTTGACTGGAACATGACTGGACTGGAACATGACTTGACTGGAACAGGGACTTGACTGGAACAGGGACTTGACTGGAACATGACTGGACTGGAACATGACTGGACTTGAGCAGGCGTGGGACCCAGGCAGAGAACTGCTGGAGCAGGCGTGGGACCCAGGCAGAGCACTGCAGCCGTACGAGACCTGCAGGCATAAGCCCCACAGCGTGGACCAGGAAGTGGACGAATGGCAGGAGCGACGCCAGAAAACCAGGATCGGCGGCAGGCACTCGACAGCCGGTCAGAGCAGCTGCACGGCACGATTCACTGGATCTCCGGCAGAGGCTTGGGTGCAGGGAAGCAGGAGAAGAGCGGGGAGACCAGCCCTACCACCCCGGAGAACAATGGCGTGCGTAGGGGGTGTAACTCCCTTGTAGCTCCAGGATCCGCGGCTTCCATGTGACACAAACAGGACGGGGGCAGAAAGCAGGAGAGGAGAAGGAATTCGACCACCCCGGGAACGAGTAGGATGCGCCGAACCCCCTCAATGGTTCGACCACCCCGGAGAATAGGTAGGATGCGCCAAACACACTGAGTCCAGAATCTCCCTCCGCTAAAGGAGAAAAAGTAAAAAAAATTAATCCTCCAGGGAGATGTAAAAAACTCACCACAGGTCCAGGTTGTGGTCAGTTCATTCTGTCACGGTGTAGGAGGTGGAGATGATGGACCATGTGTGGTTGAGCTGAGCAGGAGGAAAAATGCAGGCTTCAGTAAAAGTAAAAATGGTTTAATGGCAGGATGGGATGAACAGAAACACCAGCAGACAACAACAATGAACTGACAAAGGACAGGGGCAAAACAGGTGGTTTAAATACAGAGGGCTAATTAGGGAAACATGGACAGGTAAACGAGGGACAGGTGAGAACAATAAGGGTAATCATGGCAGGAGAGGAACACAGTCAGGCGGGCAGGGGCAGATCGTGACAAGGACTACATATGTGCTTCACGAAAGTGACATCATCGAACCAGACATGGAGAAAACTGAAGGAAAAGAGCTGTAAGTTCAGCAAACTTCCCACAGGAGGAAAGAACCACCATAGATCTGGCCATTTGGCAAGTAGCAGCTACGCTAGGGGAGTGGAGATTATGTGGTGACGTCACATATGCAACGTGCCGATTTCTAGTTTGTAGTCATGCTAGTTACAATCTTTTACAAGATGATAAATCTCAAAGTACATGACAGGTGTGGTCGAAACACCCATCATTATTTTTCATTTAAATAGAAGCACAGCATATGTGCGATCCAGGGCGTAAGGCAAAGCGGATTAGAAAATAGCGTCTTTGGCCCCGTTGACTTGCATTCGTTTTTTCATTCTTCCAGGGACCAGTGAGCCGACCGGAAAAGGAGGAGACTTAGACTCCCAATAAAAAAGAATGAAAAATTGATGGGGGTCTGAATACTTTCAGTACCCCCTATAATGTATGTCTTTGGGTTGCTCTGTCCCACTCTGCGTTCTTCAGTGGCCGAGGCTTATTCGCTGGATGTGGCACTCCAGTTGATGAGGATGATGAGGCTGCCACAATGGCCCTTCCATCCCTCCTGGTCAATTCAGAGGTTGAGGAAGCCTTGAGGCTCGCCGCAGTGGCCCTCCTGGTTCCTCCGGAGGTTGATGAAGACTCCCCCATAAGGCACCCTACTCAGAGTTTTCTGCGCAGGAAGCAGCAGAACTGTCTGCCGCTGTTCATGAGTTGGTTTGGCTCTGAACCACTTTTGATCCCGACCACTCCTCAAGAGGATGGGAGGACTGCCCTCAGTGGGTTCAATCCAGCCAATCCCTGGCAGTACCTGGTCCTTCTTGGAACCGCTGAGGTCCAGTGACCAAAACCCACTGTTGTGCAGCACCAGGCTTAAGTCCGAAGGTGAAGATCATTTGCTGCTGTGGCCCCCAGACTCTGGAGCTCTCTCCCCCTGAGCCTGAGATCAGTGGACTCAGTGGTCTCCTTTAAAAAGCAGCTGAAGACTCACCTGTTCAGGCTGGTTTTGGTGTGATCACTACCCTCTCCTTATTCAGCTCTTTCTATCAATTGTGCCTTTGCCAGGATCCACTGATTAACTCTTTCTTACAAATTTTCTCTTTCCCTTTCCTTACATTTTTCAATCGCAACATTTTTTTTCTCATTTTTATGATATTTTCTAATCATTTTTAAACATTTTTTTTAAATAATTTTTGTTCTTGTTAATCGGTTCGTGATTTTTATCTTGAGGTGCTACATAAAAGATTGTTTTCTTTCTTTCTTCTGTCTTTCACTTTGGCTGCGTCCTTAAATCCTATCCAGAATATTTATGAACAGAATAAATGACAAAGGGCATCCTCGGCTAAGTGTAACTCTCACTGGAAATGAGCCCCACTTACTGTCGCCAACATGGCAGCTCTGACACCAGTAATACAGGGACCTAACAGCCGGTAAATGCTTTGATACGGCCCTGGATGTGGGACTGTCTTTTGAGGGTGATCTGATTCTATCACATGTATAAATATTAAATGCGTATATATAATTGCTTTTCATTGGTAAAAATGTGTATTGGGGATAAATCTACTTATTTTTTCTGTTTAGTTTTCTTGTTTTTTATTCGAATAACTTCCTGCCCTTTCTCTCTTTAACCTTCCTGCATGCTGCGTCTTTTCTCCGTCTTCCAGAAAACCTGTTTCCTAGATTTCCTACTTTCTAACTAATCAGCCAAAGGGATCTACGGAACGCAAAAAAAAAAAAAGCCTAATATGCGCTGCGCTCCAGCAGCAATGAGCACGTCAGAAAAGTACAGAAACTACCAGAGAATATGGGCTGATATGAACGATCGCAAGTGAATTATTTTGTTTTGGAGTAGTGATTTTGAGAACGTTACAGCGGCCACGCGCAGGACTCAGCTGGAGTGTTTGAGCCGTCAGTACCGTGTTCTTTCTGCTCATAGAATGACCACAAAGCTGAGAGAGTCCATAATAATGTAATATATGTAGATTCTGGATCTTTTTCAGGCTTCCCGTAATTTGAATTTTTAAGAAACCCACCTCTTGATTCTGGATTTTAAAATGCTTTTTACCATGTCACTGACAATTGTACGGATTAAATATTAACAATTATTTTCCCTGTTATGCCTTACATTACTGCATTACAGTAATGAATTACCTTTTTGCCGTGTTAGTCCTAACACTGACCAGGAAGGAGTGTATTCCCCTTCTTGGAACACACCCTGCAGTCCCCCTTTTTAAATAGGAGGACCACCATCCCGGTCTTCAAGTCCAGGGAGGGGCTAGCACTCCTTAAATACCAGAGCTGAGTTCGCAGTAGGCGGGCATATATTGAAAGCTCTTTGGGATTGGCTGGCTAACAAGATGTTATCCAATAGCAGCAACGCTTAAAGGGTTGCGCCTATAGTCATAGAGTCTGGAGTTATAATACATAACCACTGTTTTCTCGTGCCTTAACAGGAAATAAGCAAAGTGATGCTGCTGAGTGTTTGGAAAAGATTCTGAGCAGTCTGACCCATTCTGAGGCTTCACAGGTAAAGACTTCATAGTAATGCTAATGAAATTGCCATAAAAAATATATTTCTAACATGTTTGGGGTTGTTTTTAAAGCTATTTACAGGTGTGATGATGCTCAAGAACAAATGCTCTGAATGCAGGATGGAGACCGGAACACGTAAATCATTCTGGAGTATTCCTCTTGAACTAGTAGACCTATATGACGACTACAGTGTGGTGAGGAACGATGTCTCACTTTACATAAAGTGACCTTCATATGTCCACATCTAAAGGCAGTTATTCTTCTTTATTTAATTAGAGCAATATGGATTATGATGTGAAGTAAGTTAAAGGTGTGGAACACTGAAAAAACGTTATTTTAAATTATTGTTTTTGATTATAATTTGTTACTGAGTTTTTCATGCAGGCCACAAATGAAAACAGTCTTCTGCACCTATCTCCTGTAATATCTTCAGATAGAAAATAGACCATCAAATGCTAGGATTTGAGAAGCCTGACAGATCACTTAACGTTCATGGACAGGTAAAACTTTTCAAGTGTCCAGGAAAAAGCAGAGAATGTCT